TAATATTGTTGGAGCAAAATGGGTGTACTTGTTAGCTGCCAGGATGTTAGGTAAATATGAGGCTACCTTATTAGATGATCCTAATGTGACTCCTCAAATAATATCAGCTCTATACCCAGCAACCCTGCTGCCCACAGACCCTGAGACTTTAACTCTACACCTTAACACTATAGAAGGTCTTCACTCCATTTTTTCTAGTCAACCACATCTGACAGACCAGCTATTGGACCACGCAGATTAGGAACTCTTCACAGATGGAAGCAGTTTCGCAGATCACAGTGAACACCATGCTGGGTATGCAATAGTGACTTTACAAGAGGTCATCAGGTCAAACTCTCCCCCAGTGAGTACATCTCAAAAACTTGAACTCATGTGGGCTCTTGAGCTTTCAACAAGCAAAATAGCTAACAATATATCTTTTTGATTGTCCATGCCCATAGGGGCATATGGAAAGAGAGAGGACTTCTAATCTCCAATAATAAGGATCTGAACCATTCTCAGGAGATAAACACTCTTGGAGGCTGTCCTCATGCCAAAAGAGTAGGCTGTCATGCACTGACCTGGACATCAAAAAGGAACTCCCCAGTAGCTCAGGGGAATCATCTAGCAGATCAGGTCACTAAGTCAGCACCATGAAAAACTGCTTTTGGCCTCCAGTTACCCAAATCTGACTAGACTTCTTTCTTCTCTGGATATATGGAAGCAGAGGAGAGAAGCAGAATTCTCCAGAAGTCAGGCCTCTTTGCCTCCCACTCTGACTGAACTAATTAATTCTACATGATGCCTCATGTTACTCCATCCCAACCCAATTTTACACCTACTCATCTGCTTGACAGAGTCTAGGTCACACAACTGTCCCCTGGATGCTAAAAAACCAGAGGAGGTTTGTGAATTCTACCTTGCAAAGGCAAGAATCATAATTGAGAACTCCTCTAAATCAGGTAAGTGTTCAAGATATTACAAAATCACATAAATGTCAAATGTCCACTATGATCCATCACTGGTTAGGAAACATGCACTCTTTCTACATTTAAACTTCCTAACAACAAAAATCTATACCCTTAAAATAATCCTCACTATCTTTTATACAAAGGGAAACAAATCTTAATTCCCTGGAAGTAACTGAAACAACGGGTTTCTTGGGTTACTCCCTTTAACTCCAAACATAGGCTCTCTGGTGATATTCATTCCACTCTACTCATTTACTCTACCATCTTGGTATTGTGTCAACTGTAAATGAAACCATAAATTGTGCTGTCAACAATCTACATACAACAATCATAAAGTAAAGAAGAAGAGAGAACAAGGAACTCCATTAAAAGGTACTGAGATAATGAAGAAATTACAGGCAGATAGTACAGTGGGCATTGCTGAGGTTGGTCCCCTGATGGGAGCTACCCCATTACCTACCCCATTACCTATAGAAGGTCTTCACTCCATTTTTTCTAGTCAACCACATCTGACAGACCAGCTATTGGACCACGCAGATTAGGAACTCTTCACAGATGGAAGC